GAGCGAACTCCGAGGGATTTTAAAAGTGCATACAGAATCGACTTCTATGAATTTCGTGCCTCGTTATAACACACGTATTGAATAAAAAAATCCGATAAGCGCATTCTATTACCGCATTATTAAATTAATTCAATCAAGAAAAACACGACCATATGGGTGGTGGACAACACAGACTTGGTTACGATGGACTATTAAACCCATGTGGGCAGCGGTTGTGGGCAGTTTTGGGTCTTTCACCGAAGTAGAAGCAAAGGAAAGGAATAGAACGTACCAAGAGCAGGTTGATTGTCGTTTTATTTACATCTACTTACTCCTCTGCAACTTGAACTGCTCATTACCATACGTTGTTAGCCGTTACCAACACAGCGTGGATTTTTTATAGCTGTATTAGATCGAAAGAAAGTTCTATATAGGTACGTGAGTTGGTTACTTATTGTAGGTATGTAAGTCGAAAAATAAATAAAACGATTATTCGTTAAAGAAAGAAGAGTACATTTAGTTTCTAAGTTTTTATAATATGTTTGCATATTTTCATTTTAAAATTAGCCAGTACGAACAAATTTTAATTTCAAGTAAATACATATCAGTAAAGCAAAAATATGATACGATCTATCTACAGGGTGTCCCAACAGTGTGTGAACGTTCCGTTATGATAGAAAATATCAAAAAAAATTTATTTAAAAAAGTTGTAGATAATGTTAATCTGTACATTAAAAATTATTTTCGAATATCCATAACTTCAGAACCCTGTATTTGATTCTAAATTTCAATTCTCCTGACTTTGTCCTTCAAGAAAATATCAGCATGTATGAGGTTATACTGGGTATTTTAGAAGTTTAAACCAATTTTGTATAAATATCGTACTAGGTTCAACCCTTTGTATATTTTAAAAGGAACAATTGAACAGTAAACTTTTTTGATGAGTCATTTTTCATGATATTAGAATATACTAATTTTTTCCTAACGCAACAAACGTGTACAGGGTGAGCCAAAACTCAAATATATGATTTTCTCAAGTTTTTTTAAATATTCCATATCACTACTAAAAAGTACTCTAATTATACGTTAGTTTGAGTCAAACATTCTCTATACTTAAACACAAAAGTTTTGGGAGGTTCTTAGAATGAAATTTTAAAAAGGGTTAATTATTTATGCCTAAATTCATAATATAATTTGATTTAAACTCCTGTTGAAGTATACTAGTTAATTAATTTAAATTTTTAAGATACCTAGGTACAATTTTTTATTATCTGAGTTTATTTTTTTAAGTTCTTTACAACTTTTAAAATAAAATGCAATGAAAACGCATTAAGTGGGCTTTGAAATTATTTTCAAAAGAATAATTGGACCGTTCTGCATTGTTTAAATAAAAAATAAAATCACGTTTAGTGTTCCCAAGTATTTAAAATGATTGATTTGACTAATTTAAAAATGAATTTTGACTGATATGATTTTAGCGGTGATCTCGAGTAGAGTCCCGACTGTCTCTGGGTCCCTCTGATTGATGTCCGAGTAGAGTCCGGGAAATGGTTGAATAGAGTCCGAAGCTCATTATCTCAGGTAGCCATATAAATAGTAATAAATGCAGGTAGCAGAATTATTTAATTTAGTTTTTTTTAAATTATACTTTTTAAGGAAATATGGTAATAAAGTAAACCAGATAGATAAAAAATATTTATAACATAAAATAAAAGTGATTTATTTTTTATTTTTCAAAATGCAAAATTAGGGTGTTCCGAAAACTTTTTTTACATTTTAAATCGATTCCCAACTACCTTAATAAATTCCAAGTTTGTTATATCCCGATTTTTTAATTGGCATATCTTGTCATCCAAAAATTGTTTGTTTTCTATAGTTTTTGCAGAGTATATTTTCATTTCATTTTGTTGCGCTGTCCTAATCTTTATATATGTATCACTTTGAAAATCTATTGAAATTGTAATAAATTGAAAAATATGAGGATGTGAATGGTAAAATGACGAATTAAACCGTGAATGAAAACTTTCGCAGGCATTTGTAGTTCTTTTTACACTACTTGTATTTTCAGCCCATATGTATGGTGGAAATTTGGACGATTCTGTTATATAAGTATCTACAACAAGCATAATAAGCTTGCGGTCCGGCTCGTGGGCGCCTTACATAACAAAAGTATGTATTAAAAGTCTTGTTAAAGCTGCAAAAATTATTTGTCCTGAAAGCGGGAAGGATTTTGAAGTAATTTCTTTTTTTGAAATACAGTTGCGGAAAACGTTTCGGATTTGGCTGCCAATATAAGTAATCAGATCAAGGCAAAATCATCTTGTTTCGAAGTTTTTTCCATTGCCTGTGAAGAGAGTACAGACATTGGGGGTGTTGCCCAATTAGCTGTGTTTCTTCGTGCATGCGACAAGAATTACAAAATTTTTAAGGAATTACTGGAACTAGTACCGATGCACAGCACTACTACAGGACAGGATGTATTCAATTCTGTGTATGAACTTCTTCAAAAATATAATTTACCTCTGTCAAAATTAATTTCTGTAGCTACAGATGGAGCTCCTTCTATGACCGGAAAAACCAATGGTTTTGTTGCATTGCTGCCAAACAAACTTAGTGAAATATACAACGAATCCAAAATTCATCATACGCAATGTCAGATAGTGTACACGAAGGTAATAAATATGGAAAATGTGCTGAAACTTATAAAAAAATAATTAAATCAGCGACAGTTCTCTACTTTCTTAAGTTATTTGGAAAGCGAATATTTTTGTTTATTCTATTATACCGAAATACGGTGGCTATCGTGCTTCAAGGTTCTTAAACAATTCTGGGACTTAAAAGAAGAAATATGTCAATTTTTAACAACTAAAAATCATGACCTAAATTTGTTATCTGATCCAGTTTTTTTATAAGATTTATCCTTTATGGTTATATAACCAAACACTTGACTGATTTAAATTTAAGACTGCAGGGAAAAGACCAATTAATCACGAACATGTGTGATCAAATTAAAACATTCGAATGTAAGCTAGTTCTTTGGGAAAAGCAAATAAAAAATGAGAATTTAGTGCATTTTCCAACATGTAACATTCATAAATCAACTTTAGGTCAATTATTAAATACATTTTGGGTGAATTTTTGACTAAATTTGGGCGTGGCTTCAAAAATGTATCAACTGCGTCGTATTGCCTACAGCTTTTTTGCCTGGTTGCGGCCCACATAAACATACATTTTATTAAAAAAACCAAAAAAGGTTGACAGCTGTGTGCACGTAGTTTAGATTCAAAAAGGAAAAACTTGTATTTCGTGCAAAACTTTTTTATTAATCAATGCAAAGCGCTTTCGGCTTATTTGCCATCATCAGTGCTCATTGTCCACAACGTATCCAACAAGTTCCTGGTCATCCTCACTCCCAAAATTATATATTTCGGGATATTTACAACTTGCTAAATCATAATTTTATTAATATTAATATTTTCAAATTTAAATTTATCTCTTCATTTTGGTTCAAGTTGTTTAACCGTTTATTTATAAAGATCAAGTTACTTTTTCAGTTTGACATGCTTGATCTACAAGATAATCTGCGAATAACGTAAGTTGGGAATTGCTAGGTTGAGAAGCTATCAAATCAATAGCAAAACAATCTCCAACATCTGCTGAATTAAGAAACGGCAAACCAAAACAGTTTCTCAAAAATTTTCCAACTTCTGAATCCTTATCCTTGTATGCAGTAGTAAGGCCAAGTTTTCGCCACCTGAAAAGTGCATGTTGCATTTAGTCAACTGACAGCATTGAAATATATATTTTTTTAGGGTTGACCAAAATTTCGCACGCTCTAGGAGTGGTTTCATAATTTTTTACAACTTTTATAAAGGGTAATTTGCTCTAAAAAATGTTTATGAAAGCACCCTTATAGCGCAATTCGTACCAGGAGTTTGAGTGTAATATTTTGTTTAGATACTCAGAAGACTTGAAAAAATCATACTGTTTTAATATTTTTGCGTTCATCTACAGTATTTTTATTTGTAATTTTACGAAAAAAAGTTATTCTTTATAAAAATTTGTTCATGGCCCATAAAGTAAAACGCAAGAATTGAGAGGTAGAAGATTTGAGTCGGATTTAGAGCTCAACAACGCTGTGATGGGTATACTAAACAGACTATCAAAAAATGGTTTCTCAGAAGTTTATGATAAGTGGATAAAGCGATGGAATAAGTGTATTCAACAGAATGGAGAGTACTTCGAAGGATAGTTGTTGATTTTTTTTAAATAAATGTTTTGTTGTTATACTATAGCACCAGTCTCGTTATTTTCTGATACATCCTCGTAAACATTTGAGGTGTGTTGACTTGTTAAATAAGTTAAAAAATTACGTGTTTTACAACTAAAATTTGCAAAATTTAAGTTGAAATTGAAGTGGTCATAATATTCCTATTAATCTTTTGCAATTTGTGGGCACCCTGTACATCTAATGTCAAAGGTAAATACCTAAATATTATTATTTTCGAAAGCAGAGATTTTCATAAAGAATAACTTTTTTTCGTAAAACTTACAAGAAAATAGTTTCCCATATAATGCCAACTTTTTCAGACATACTGTATAAAAGCCTAGCACAACTTTATTGGACTAACCCCTGTTATTAAAATATTTATCAATAACTTACCATGATTGACCCAAATGAAATCTACATCCAACCATACGTGTCTTCTCCCAAGTTTCTAGCGCACTTTGGTAGATTGCCTCTTCAAAAAATCTGCCACTACTGTTGTTGGTGCCAATATTTTACCAATCTTTTGACATTCTTGTATTGCATATATTAATGCCAACATATAACTTTTCTTTTGTTTATTTGGAAGTGCGAAAAAGACTAGAGATACATAATGGTCGCCTGCTAATCCGTGAATGGAGAAAAAATTTAGTGCAGCAATTGAATGTCCCATCCACATATATGGATTTCAAACTGCACAAGAACTCTAAATTCCTTTTCGATGAGAACATAATTATATTGTTTTCTGTGTCGTTTACAAGAAGAAAAGTTTCGCCCCGATTTTCATGACAGGATAGAAATTAAGAACGTTGTGAACTTCTCGTTGAGTTGTTGGTAGTTTTGGTAGAAAGCTCCTTCGAGAGTGGTATATATTGTTTCTTATACATGTGACATCGCAATTAGTCAATGTTTCGCCATCTCCTTTCCTCAGTTCTCGGTGAATGAATTTTAAAGGTCTCTCACTTAAATCTTCTGAAGCCTTTCTTTTCAAGGAATTACTCACTTCATTCCTATTAAGAATTTTTTCATCAAGTGGCGGGTAGTTATGGTTGTCAACAACTTCAATTATATTTGTTTTCCCCTCTGTCTTCAAATAGGCCGTACACTTTTTATTTCCACTTACCGAACACACCCAACGTTTGATACCACCAGTTAGTTCTTTATGAAAACGACATTTATATCCATCTAAGACTAGAAGCTCCTTTCCTTTCTCGCTAAGTATACACTTTAATGCACTCATAATTTAATCTAATTCACTTGTCGGTTTGTAAACTAAACTAAAACGGTAATAAACAAATGACATAATTTAATATTTTTATTTTCGGGGATGTAGAAGGGGGCCAATCAATATGTACTTTTCATGTTCACAAAAAAATAATAGGTAGTTCTTGAAATATATATTAATACTAGATATTACTAAATATTTAAATTCGTAATCTAGGTAGTTAATCCTTTAATGATTTAATCTGACCCCGGACTCTCCTCAGCCATCTAAGTTTTTGACCGATATTATATCAGGTAAAAACGGGACTCTACTCCGTTCTGCCCGATTTTAGTGCTAGGAACAGTGATGCAAATTGCTTGTTGGCTACTAGAATTTATAAGCAAAAATATCCTGATCGCCGACAACCTCGTAAAGATGAGACTTTTGAGAACCTGTTGGCAATATTTAGGAGATATTTTATATTTTAATTAAAAAACTATTAGCCAAATAAAAGTAAACACAACAAATAATAAATTGATTAATAAATTTACTTTTTCATAGTACAAAAAAATAACATTATCCATATAAAATTCCACCAACAAGTATAGAATTATTAAAAAATAAAAAAGAATTAATAAACACACATCGAACAATTAAAAATTGATTTTCAAAAATTATACTTATAATTAAAAAATAGATAGAAATGTAAAGATTATTTAGATTTTTCCAATGATATTAGAAAAGTTACTGCTTTATCGCAGTCTAAGCACTCACCGAAATGTTATTACAACTCAACGGTCGATTTAGGAAAAAAATCAGAGAATGAATTCAATCACGGCTTTGAGAGGTTTGTCCCCTCTCCACAATGTTCGTCGCGTCGACAATTTTATTTTAAATAATTTTTATAGAAATTAAACTATATATACTCGCTCTCATTTAAAATAACATTTTTTAAAATGTTACAAATTAACAAAACAATAATTTTCTTTTCTATTATTGTAATTTTTTAAGTTTTTAATTTTAAAACAAAATACATAAATTGATTGGTTTTCATACATTTCCCACTGTGTAATTAGTAAAGCATTTACTATGACAATGTCACTGAAATTTTGGTACATTCAAAAACGTATTGAGAGATTCGCTTCGTGGGTGGATATTTTTTGGTTACACGCAAATTGGAATCCCGCCTAATGAATAGCAGTCATTGCAATATAAGATATATGACTAGGAACATTGTCTTAATGGAACAGCTTAACCTTCACGCAATTTTTCACGACGTTTATATTTTAACGAATCGCGGAATTTTTAAATTAGTTGTGCGTAATAATTGGCTGTTAATAGCTTCCCCCATACAGTCCAGACCTTGCTTCCATCGATTTATTTTTGTTGCAGCTGGGTGTAAAGAAATTTCCAGCCGCCAGTGGTATTATACAATAAATATCCGTTTAATCATATTTTTGAACGATCAGTTTTTTTTTTACTAAAAAGGTTTATGATTATCTTAACGAACACTTCATATAACCGCCTCACAAAAATTTAATTATTTTGCATCGTTTTCAAAATTAGACCTGCTACCGAGTAGTAATTTTATATTCGACTTTTTTTTACCGGAGTTAATATCCACATTAAATCTCCAATCTACCGGGTCCTTCCTACCAATAAAAAATAAAGACTGTTGATACACCTGAATTATAAAAACCAGTAGTTGATTGGGTGTAGATTAAACTACAGAGTGATTCTTCACTATTATTGTGGTTCTGTTTTTAAGTTTAAGAAACATTAGAGGTGAGGACATTCGCCGTCAGACATGCAAAGTTTACTGCGAAAGAGGAATTAGTGACAGGGCTGCCAGATTCAGTACGTTTGTACTGAATTCAATACTTTCTCAATTTTTTCAGTACGTCAGTGTTACGTTGTTAGTTTTAGTACGTTTTTGTTAAAAATGGTCAATTTAGTACCATTTTTAGTACTATTTGGACATTTTTCGAATAGTGACATATTTTATCAACAAAATAGTCATTTCAGTATTTTGTATTTGGACATTTTTTGAATAAAGTGACGTATCTTATCAACGATGGATCACAGTTGACAGTTAAGTCATATGATGAGTCAAATAATTTATTTAAAATTGAAATTTATTGCACGTTTGTTGGCTGTATAATTTGGATAGTAAAATAGTATAAAGATGATTGTTATACAATAAAGATTATATGATTAAATAAGTGTAAAACCACAAGAAAATAATTTTTATTTTACTTTTGCATTATTTCTCATATTATGGGCCTATTTGTTTATACCTTCGTTTTTATAGGGTAAAATTATAGAATTTTGAAAATTTTTCTATGAAAGTTAATTAATAGTTAATGAATTTAAAGTTCCAGCCATTTTAGGCTTTGGTACATTTTTATAAAATAGAGCTTTTTTAAAGTTGCTTATTCAGTACGTTTTTTTGAGATTTAGTACGTTTTAAACAATGTTTCAGTACGATTTGAATTTTCATTCTGGGGGCCCTGATGAGTGATAATAAAGTGCGAAAATGTCGTCGGGTGTGATTCTGCTCCACGACAACACAAGTCTTTGTGAACAACTGGATCATCCGTATTACAAACCTTGCTTCCAGTGACTATCAGATCTATCACTTGTTTCAGTACCTAAAGGATTTCCTTGGCGATGATAGGAAGCAGTGTTGTCAGAATATATTTTTGTTATGTATCAGATTTGTCTAAAAAATGTACCAGATTTGTCTAAAAATGTACCAGATTCTATAAATTGTACCCAGATTTTTCGAATTGTGATGGTTTTGTTCATTGAAAAACAAAAAAAGACGAACAACATAAACAAGGAAGACCTCCCCCCCCCCCCAACAATATATTTTACACGTCAAATGGAAACATACGCTGAAAAAAATTAAAGTACTAGATTTTTCTTCGAGTGTACTAGAGTACCAGATTTTTAGATAATGTACTAGACTGGCAACACTGCTACGAAGGCAAATTTCTCTGAGATGAAAATAAAATACTCATAAGTATCTGAGTATGAGTACTTATATGAATAATACTCAAAACAAATGAGTAATTTTGCATATTTTAGAGAGTACTCGTGAAAAAAACGAGTAATGAGATCGAGTACCTTATCTATTTTAAATAATTCTAGTTAGTGACTCAAGTTTAGAAGAAAAGAATTATGATAATTCGTAATAGTAACTCAGTAAGTAACAAACAAAAAACGAAAGTGTCATTTATCTTCTATTAATTAGTTAACACTTACCATTAATGTGTACGTAACTTTTCATTTTAATGTTAAAGTAAAGTAATAAAGGTATTATGTAGAGACAGATATACAGATAAAGAAATCTTAAAAGATTAGTCATATATTTTAAAACATATGTTGCCAGAATTCCGTCATTTGACATATTCTTAGTGGATGTAAATGAACTTGTAGTGGACTGTAATCTTGATTTTTCACATTAAATAAACCACTTGATACGTTTGTGAAACAATATTTATTCCTCCTTTCGCAGCGTGCAGTTACCGAATATCGAATGTAAAAAAACAAAACAACTTTTTTATCTGGATATTGGCGATGTTGCCAAACTCTACATAATATCTAGTTTTACACTAAATAATACATTTTATATAAAAAGGCCGCTACAAACCTAACCACTTAGCTTGTCCATCCTGTATCGTTTACGACGATAAGTTATTCGGAAAAGCCTTAGGGTTGTGACGACGATGGTAGTGGAATTTTAAAAATTAATGGAATGTTCAGATTTATTTTTAAAACATTGACAAAGGGTGTTGGAATTGTCAGTTGGGAGATTAAAAAAAAAGTCAGAACATATTATATTGAAGTTAAGATAGATAGTTAGATATTAAAGTTGAGGATTTTACATCCTAGAGATGAAATATAAAAAAAAATATTAACAAAGAAAGATGAAGAGAGTTTTGTTTAAATTAAAGATAAAGGTGAATGGAATAGTAAGGAGGGCTTAGCAGAAAGGAGAGTTCGTCAGGAGGAGTAAGATGAGAAAGTAGAGAAAAATAGCAAGATGAGACCAGACAGGAGAGCAGGAGGTACATAAAAGTCAGGAGTTAGAGCAGAAAGCAGAAGAACAGGAAACAAGAAGAAAGAAGCGAAGCGGCAGATTGAGATTTTTTTGTTAAATTCAACATATATCGATTAGTATTATTTTTAGTTATTTTTTTGAAATTTTTGTTGAAGTCAAATAAGCTATAATCCTAAAAGCGCTCGCGTCGGTACTCGTACTCGTTATTTCGTTACTCGTAGCTGTAGGAATAAAAAGTACTGACTATTCTAAAATATAAAGTTCTCGAAATTTTTTGAGTACGAGTCCCATTAGGATAAAAGTACTTACAAGTACCAATTACTGAGTTCTTTGACTACTCGAGTACAATTTTTTAACTTTTTAACGTCAATCTTAGAACGTGCTAAAATGACAAGGTCATCAGCATATTATATTAGAAACAAAACCTCATTTTTATCGTCAATAGAACGCCCTTTGTTATCAGAGCCCTTTATTTGTACCGTATCGTGCTAGTAAAGCATTTTTGATGACAATCCTAAATAAAATAATTTTTACAAGTGCACACAACCAAAGTCAAAGTCTCTTTTAAAATCAACAAACACTGTCAGTATTAGTATCACCTCGTATAAATGATCCTCTTAATTTTTCAAATTAATTATCCAGACATTGAAAAATGGCCAGTTGGGAAATCTACTTAGGTATAAATCCTGTGTATTATCCTGTATAATATCATTCAACCCTCTAAGAGAACAGTGATTTTTACGGAGGATGGGCCAATTATGTTTTTAATGACGATTGCATCCGGCCCCGGCCCAAAAAATAAACTCTGAAAGAAAAAAAAACGAGGAGAAGCAGTCACTCAAGTGATGTGTCTATTTTTTCATGGTTGATCGGCCTAAATCATTACCCGCCTCCTTGGTTTGACCACTTCTTCACCCACAGAACCTTCACAAAAAATGTTAATTAGTTTTCAGGTTCCCGTAATGATTTA